GCAGTGGGCTGTAGTGGGAACACAGAGGACAACAAGCAAGCACTGCAAGAGGTGCAGGGACAGTGTCCCTCGATTGCCCCGGGGCTCGTTGGCTCAGGACAGCTCCAGAACAACAGGCGTCGAATTCACACCCGATTGCCCCTCCCCATGGGCCGATCTAGGACTTGACCAGGGGTGGGGTGGCACATCGTTACATATAACACAACACACATTTTTTCTCCAGTTGAAGAAAAACTAGAAGCTTCACTAATAGGCCGGGGGGCTAGTGCTATATCGTTCAGTTTAAGATGAAAGCAAAAAGAAGTATGACTATTGGAACATGCACTAATTCCCTGCATTTAAAAAACTAGGCAAAACCAGTCAAAAGATATTGCATCGTTAGTCTTGTAGTCATTGTTGTTAAATGCACGTCTGTTATTGAGATTCACAAGACAAAAATCTAGCTTTCTCGAGCATCTTGACATTGTCTCCAATACTCTACTATCAGTTGTTCCTATACCTGAGCTAAGGTCTTTATCTAGAGCTAAAATCAGTCTGCAGTGCTGTGAAATAGAAGAGAGGCGTTACCAGGAAAGGATCCCAACTGCGTTGGGATAGTTTGAATAGGGGAGCATCAAGAGCATTAGAAAGAAGAGCGGGTCGCTAACACGTGTGGAGTGGAGAGAGATTAGCAGGAATCAGGGAGACGATAATGACTTTCTCAGCACTGCCTGACTACAAGTGCCGCTGTCCCTCCCAGGCAGCTGGTTTTCAAGTTTGGGTGGAGCAGGAATCCCAGGGGTGCAACTGCAACTCCCCCCACCCCAGCTGTGACTTGTCTCAGGCTAATCTCCTTCCCTGGCCAGTTTTCATGCTGACTCGAAGCCAGCCCAAAATGAAACCGAGCTCCCGCTGTCTCCAAATGCTCGGCAGCCCTCTCCCTCCCGTTCCTCAGCCCCGCTCGTAGCACCACCTTCCCCCAGGCAGGCCTCAACCCAGGCAAGCGGGAAGAGCCACCGTGCAACCAGTCTCTGCATGATGTTGCTGTGTCTGGTCACCACCTGGAGCACTTTGCACGCTGCTCCTTTTCATCTTCCCGTGTCGTTTGTCCTCAGGGACCAGGCCCGCTTCGTTTATACCTCACCAGGTGCACTGGAAGCGCTACGGGAAACAAACGTTGGATGCAGAAACAAATGCACCCAGGCATACAGCGGCTGTTGTGCGGAGGCTGGAAGGATGTTGTGGAGCAGTCCTCTTCTGTTTTTGTCCAAAGCCAGGGGACTGCAAGGACGAAGGGCGGCTTTCTAGGAATGCAGCATGCAGGAAGCTCTGTAGAAGAGCACGAAGCGATGGCTCTCCCCTTCCCGGATAACGGGGCCGGAGAGCGCCGCGCTAAGGTCCAGTGGGGATGTCTGGCTGCTCTAGGCAGATCCTAGACCAACTTCCAGCAAATACTTATCTATTTCTTAATGTATTTATTAGATGTGTGTCCTGCCCTGTCTAGAAGGCTCAGAGCAAGAGCCCCAAAGCTCAGAGCACTCCCGGTCCCAATCCAAAAATTAACTCGACTTGCTCCCGGCCCATTAATCTTGTCCCTGGAGCCTGAGCATAATCGGCTTGCAGGTCTTTGCAAGCACCTCTTATGAATCGATACAGAGGGTGTCTCTCTGCGTCTGAATGTTGAGCACCAAAACGCTGATCCTTGGAAAGCCCGGCTTGTGTCATGGGTAGTCGGGTCCAAGGAACTCGGCTTCCTCAGTCCTGCTGAGTTGCATCGGGGTTTCTGTCCCTGACCGAACTGCAGGAACAGCACCAAATGGCCCTGACATCAGCACGGTGTCCTCCAGGGTCAGCGTTGGTGCTTCTGTGCCCTCCCGCCGCTTGGCCGGTCAAACTTTCCCTACCCGGCACAGATCCCTGTCTGCCGTATCACCCCTTTCCTCGCTGAGGAGGCTCCTGGGAGGCATTTAAAACTGCTGTAAGGAGTGCTGTGAGCTGGCCTGGCCAACAGCCAGCCTAGGACTGCAGGCCCCTGTGCTGAGTTGTGCTATGCACGTCAGGCTGGATCCTGCTCCCCCCGTCAGGTCCTAGAGGGTGATCTGATTCTGCCTTGCTCGAGTCGCAGAGAAAGGGTTAATGGTCCTGCTTTTTTCACGCAGCCTCAGCTTAGCCTTTAAGCTCTTGCAAACAGCAGCCAGCTGGCCACGAACCCGCCTGCCTTTTGTGCTCGCTGCATTTCCAAGGCTGCAGCAGGGTGGAACGAGATTGCGCCGAGCACCCACATCCGCTCGGCACCTCCGGGGTAGAGAAAGGTCTGGCCCTGGTGTGTTGAGCTGGGTCAGTCTCTGTTACCTTAGTCCCACACTGACAAACTTTCCCTTTGGGGATGCATGCTGCGTGGAGGGGGTTTCCACTGCTTTGTGGGCCTGTGAAGCTAACCTGGGTCCCACTGACTTCAGGGCAACTTTCCTTGTGCTTATGGTCATGGGATCCACACTTCACATAGCCAAGAACAAATGTTCCTTGCATTGAAGGGAAATGGCTGCTATGGAGCAGGGTTAGGGCATTAGCTGGCCTCTATGTCTTCCCTCCAAACAGCCATATAGTCTCTCTCCTAGTTCTTCTGGTCCCTTTGCCCTCCTAGTTTTTTGTTCCACATCCCACTCTTATTTCAGTGGCTTTTTATTTCTCCTCTGCAGCCTCTTTTCAGGGTCTCCCCTCAACGGACCAGGAGCCTAGCAGCGTTCAGGTCAGCCTGGGTCTGATGCGAGGCAGGGGAAGTTCACCATCCCTGCACAGTGGGCAAAACTCAAGGGGCAGAGCAGTTCATGCTCAGAGCTCTGGATTCTCCCCCCAGCCCTATTGCTGGGGAGCAGGACAGCCCCATTGCCCCCGTAACACACAAGGGTCGGTGTGCTCCATGTGCAGGCTTGGCTGCATGACGGTGCAGCGTTGAAACGCATGGCCGTGCAAAGGAGGGGCAGACGGGGGTCATTAACCAGGTCCCTCCCTGTAGCCTACTCTGGAGTAGCCATGACCTTTAGCTCGTTGTGAGGTTTGGCCCAGCTGGTGCAGATCCAGTCCCAGGGCCCGGCTGGAGGTAATCGGGCAACCAGGCTGACTCGGGGAGAGGCCCTGCCCATGTTGGCCTAGATGCGCTCAGAGAGCTGGGCAGTAGATCACCTGGCTGTGCCTCTGGCTTGCTTGAGCGCCCTAAACCTGACTCCATGCACTGAACATCTAGTGTGGACCCTCCTGCCTGTTCCTGCTTGCTCCTGGTCCGGCCTTGGACCTGCTTTGCTGGCTTGCTTCCTTGCCCTGCCCACGCCCTTGTCCATGGGCTATTCTAGACTAGGAATGACACCCGATTTTGATCTTGGTTTCCACTCCTGCAAACTACCGACCTAACGTGATGCATTTGGACCAGCTGCCTATCCCCCGGTCACTGCTCATGATAGCTTGTGCCACCTGATAGCTCGGGCTAGTATGTGAAAGGAAGTCTCGGGGTGCTCTTCGTGGCTGACAGGCGAGACCGCGTGTCTGCACTCTCAGCACGCGAGCTCCCTTCTCTAGACGGGCTCTGCCAGGTCGGAAGGCAGGTCTGCAGCCGGGGGTGGGAGCAGTTTGCTTCGGCTGCTCAGGATGTCGCAGACATGGCAGACCAGGACTGCGGCAGCGACGAGCTAACAGCTGGTATTATAGGAAGCAGAGGCAGATGAATAGGAGACAGTGACAGGCTTCTGAGACCATTTTGCCTCCCTCTGTCGTACACCTTTGAATGGGCAGCAGGTTTGCTACTGCCACGGGTGATGTGCATCAGCAGCCAGCTGACTTTCCTCCTGTGGTGCCCTCTTTCATAGCAAGTTGAATCAACTTATTTTTTTTTTAAGCAAAGCAAAAGGGATGAATCAGCTGTCTAATATCCAGTTTCCATCTCTCTTGTCTAGCAGCCCCTGGCTTCTGTTTGTCCAGGTCGAGCTAACTTTGACCACTTCCAAAGAGTCAACCCAGCTCTGTCCTTCTCACACGTCCTCCCACTCATTATGCTCTGAGTTCAATTCGGTCCCCCACAAATACAGCCCGTTGCAATCACAGCAAAACAGTCAGCGTGAAGTTCCTTACCAAACCTTGTTCAGCTACAAAAAGCACCATGCCTCCCATGGGAACCAGGAGCTAATCCTGCAGGATGCTCAGAGCCCCTCTCCAGGAGCTGAGAGCCTTTGGAAAGGGGCTGGGTAGTTGTGAACGCTCAGCCATGCACGGGAGACCTCCAGAACCGCGCAGGATTGTACCCTATGGGCGAGATCCAACTACCATTAAAGTCAATAGAACAACTCTCATTGATTTTAATGGGATTTGGATTCAATGCTAAGTGATTACCTAATGCATTTCCTGGTTTTTATTTTTCCAGCCTAGCAAGCATTAGCAATGGCAAGGCAGAGGGTGGACTGCCCACCTGCCTTCGGGGAAGCCTCTTGCTAAGGGACCCCTTTTATTCTGCTTCAGGGTGGGATTGGGCTTTCCAAAGATGCAGTCTCATGACTCGCTTGTGAGCTCTTCAGTGAATTCAGTACCTTTCACCTTGGTGAAACCCTTCTAAATTTCATGCCCAAGCCCTTGTGCAAGCAGGTGATCTGTATAGAAAATGAGGGTCGGAAGGGACCTCAGGGGGTCGCATCTAGTCCAAAGCAGGACCGGCCCCAACTACATCATCCCAGCCAAGGCTTTAACAATGGCACCAGCCCAAAATCCAAGTGGGTCCCACGCCAGCCCTCCTCAATCATGTTGAAAAATTTCCCCCTTGAAGAGTCAACCGAGGTTCATACTTCCCCCTCTTGTTATGGTCTGAGTTCAATCCTGACCCTCCCCAGTTGTGCTCTTCCCCTTTATGAATATTATCAAATTGATCTTGATGCTTGACAGATAACTGGGTTTTAATAACATTGATTATGTGCATTTGTTCAAAGGTGATGGAAGCTTTTGGCCCTTTCCAAGCACCGTGGCTCCTCGTAGACTTCTCCTCCGGGAGCTGCTCTGTGTCTAATGACTGCTTGGATGAGGTGAGTGAGTGACATTAGCTAGCCACTTGGTATTTGTTTTGACTGCTTGCTTCTTGCTCATGCTTATCTTACTCTCTAGCCATTGTTCCCTATTGCCTCAAACATTGCTCTCAGCTGCAAGGCTGCTGCTTTGGAGGACAGGAGGGCCCTTCCCAGCAGTGTACGTTTTGCATTTCTCCAGCTTTAAGAGGCCCGCTCAGTTGGTTGACTGCTGCCATGAAACCCTTCTGAATTTCATTCCCAAACACTTGTGCAAGCAGAGAGTCATAGGAATTACCGTATAGAAAATGAGGGTTGGAAAGGACCTCAGGAGGTCTCTACTGCTCATTCCCATAAAGAGGTGAACTGGCCGTCCTGGGTGCACTGACTTTGCTCCCAGTGGGAGTTCTCACTTTCGACTCCAGCAGGAGTAGCGTGAGGCTAGCAGCGAATACCTGAGACTCCAGAAACCCAACATCCATCCTCCCTGTCAGCCTGATGGAGCCCAGCTTTGCAGAGATGGCTGCCTGTGCTCAACTTCTCATAAGGACAAGCTGTCTTTGGGACCAGCCAACTCTTCCCATTAAGAGCTGGGCTTTCCCAGATCTTAGGGGTGGCTCAGCTCAGCCAGTGCATGCAAGCCCATGAGCACTGGGGCTAGAGGTCAGATGTGCTTTTGATCTACTGTTATGGCAGTAGATTTAACTTCAGCCCTGCAGTGCTGACGCAAGGGCTCCCTTTATACCTCGGTACCGACACGACGCAGCGTTACACGCCGCATCCTCACCTGTCTGCTCCGGTCCCAGCCCTTGGGCACACAGCGAGTTGCAGACACTCTTCTGTTGCACCCTGATTCTCACACCTGGATTCAAGTGTCTTTCCAACCACAGTGCAGGGAGATGGGTTTCCGTCCTGGGGGTAGTGTCTGAGTACAGGGAAGCAGGTGTGAACTTTTGTAGCGGGACCAAGCTCTGTTCTTGGGTTGCCCATAAATGTGGGACTGAAGGTGGCTGCAGTCCCTGCTGTTACACTGGGCTAAGGATCCAGCAGCTCGAGAGACAGCGAGAAGCTTGCGTGCTGTGGCGTAACCCCATCCAGACAGGGACTGTTGCCAGCATGGGGTGGTCTTCTCTGCTGGCAAAACTTAGTGGCATGGACAGGACCTGATAGCCACCTTGCATCCCTCTGCGCCCTGCTCAAGGACTTGTCCCACCCGGCCCCCAGCAATGTGACCCAGTGGCTGTTACATGACCGAGGTGCCCCTTCCTCACGCTCAGCTTTGCTTGTCTCATGCTCACCTACATGCAGACTTGCATTATTTTTCTACTCTTTTACCCTAGCCTGGACCTTAGCCCTTTGCTAGTGAGCAAGCCAGCTGGCACCTGTGCCCGATTCCACCCTGCTTTCCAAGATCTGAATCTATTCCCCACTTTTATGATCTGCTACCTGCCAGCTGCACCTCCGTAGCCTGATAACTCCCTGAGCCTGCGGCCTGTTTCTCTGGCTGTCACGGTCTGGATCCTCTTCAGCATTGCTGAGGGCTACTTGCAATAAGGCCCTGAGGTCCTGATGCCCAGGCTGGTCTCCCATCAGCTGGACCATGCTGCCTATCCTTATGATAACAGGTGTAAGCACATTTGGTCCATCTAGAAACTGTCCAGGAGTACCACGTGGACTGTGACATGGGCACCTGTGCCAAGTGAAACCAGTGCCTCTATTCCTAATTGAACCAACGTGGTGCCAGCTTAACAGATGGGCAGGAATATAGAGGCTGCATAAAGCACCAGAGCTGTTTGCTGCGGGCAGCATCTTGCACCAGCCGTATCAAAATGTCTGAGTGTCTTCAGCATGCACACCTCAGCTGGAGGGGATTTGCCGCCTGCAGCTCCATCTTCCATGTGGATTTGAGTTGCGGGCGTCTCTGCAGCACGGCGTGGTTGCAGCACTGGTGAGCGAGGGAGCCCCTGTCTTCCCTCGCCCTGGTGAGCAGTGCCCATCAGCGGTCACCCTCGGAGAAGCCAGCATGGTCCAGTGCATGGGCATGCTCCATCTGCTGCATGACCTTGGCCAAGCTGCGCCCCTCTGTGTGCTTCACTTTCCCCTCCTGCCCTATCCCCTGTTTATGCATTTAGGGTAAATGAGTGGCCAAATTAAAATGACGTAACAACAGGTGAGTACGTGCCGTGTGGAGGGACTCTCCATCTGCCTCAGTATATGTGCGAGCTGCCCTGGATGAATGAAACAGGGCTAAGTTCCCCAGTTCAAGTTGTACTTACCCCAGGGTACTTGTGGGCACACAGGCAGTTACCACGCATCTGCTTTTTTGCAGTAAATCCCCACTCCTTGTTTACTCACTGTCGTTTGTCTGTACCCATAGGTATGTCCCATGCTTCTGGGCTTTGCTGGTTGCTGCTTGGGGCTGGGAGGGAATCCTGCCCCCTTTTTCTACTGTGCGTGTCCTTTAAAGCCTTCCTCGGAGGCGCTGGGTGCTGCTGGCAGTCAAGGCTGGGGATGGGGACTGGGCTGTGCCAATGCTCCTGATGGGATTTAAAGCTGGAGGGTCCTGGCTAGAGGGTCTTGCCCCTGCTCAGGGTCATACTGATGTCACATTTGGGGTCAGGAAGGCATTTCCCCCCCAGGCAGATTGGTATGGGCTGGGAGCAGTTTACCTGGGATGTCTCGAGTGTAGATTAACAACTTTTTACAGCAGCAGGACATTGGCTTACCTGGTGTAGCTGTGGCAGGGTGAGGTGTGAGGTCTTGTGTTGTATCAGGGGTGATGGTAGTTTTACTAAGAGGTTAGATGATGGATTTGTCTGGGGTAGCTTGGACAGGGCTGATCCTGCCTCAACTAGCCCCTTCCAGCCCCACTTCTCTAGGATGTCTATGATGTTGGGTATCTGGACAGCAGGTAACACAGTAGGGGTCTATTTGTAGCTCAGGGTCTCTAGACACTACTGCAATCTAAAGAAATGCTGGGTGAGGCGGGTGTCTCTCAGTCCAGTTTGCATTTGCCTTGCATTACAATACCACCACCACGGCAGGCACCATGGTGGCCGAGGGCTGGCAAGCCTGTCTCCCATCTCTCACCAAAACCAGGGCTTAGGATATGCAAGTGAGGCTTCATGGTGCAGCTTGATCCACCCAGACCCTTGTTTCCTGGGTGGACCAAGAGGTCTCCCTGTCCAGTGCTGTCAGTCTGGCCTTGCTCACGCGGTCCCACAAGCCAAGGGTGTGTGTGGGGTGGGGAGGCTTCCCCAGCAGGGCTGGCTTTGCATAGCCATGGGGGAAGCAGCAGGGCAGATGCTCCATTTCCCCCTCAGCTCTGGGAAGTCATCTGCAGAATTGGCTGGGAAGTAATCCAGTGGGACAGGAGCTCTGCTGAATCTGGGGGAATGCCGCAGTACTCCGTCTTGGGCGGGTTTGGACCACTTTGTGCCGTACGGAGCGACAATTAATGAATGTATCTGCCTTTTGCATTTAGCCTCTTGCTCACTCGGAAAGCCGTGTAAGATATACATCTGACTTTCACAAGGGGCTGGAGGAGGAAGGGAGCGATGTGATCAAAACCCAGCCTATTCCAGCACAATATTCGAATGCAAGATGCTCAGCCTTGAACAGCAGAGAACAGCATCACATTATTTTACTCTGATAAGTAGTTTGAAAGGTGACCTGTGAATGGGAAAAGGAGCAGGCTGTGCTCGTCTTTGGCAGTGCAAAGGCGGTCTTTGCGGGGTGCATTCTGCAGGGGGGAGTTTTGTGCACGTGTCTTTTACATAAATAATGTAGGTGCTGTCGGTCCGGTGTTGCGAGACGGCCGCGTGATTGACTGAAGAACCCAGAGTAGGAGCATGACATTAGAGATGCCCAGGAAAGGAAACATGATTAACTGAGACCGAGGAATGAATGTTGTGTTTTTTTATTGACTTCTTGGAGCTCTCTGTTCCCAACAGCTATTTAACTCAGAAGCCATGCTCAGTAATTAAAAATTCAAGTTTCCCTCCCCTTTGATTAAGGGCTGAGAAAACTCCCGGTCCCCCTGTCTAGTACCTCCAAGGAGGCATTTAGCAGTCCAGAGAAGGCAAGGCATAACAGGCTTCATATTTATAAGGCAAAAATCCTTTTAGACCATCTTTCTACATCTTCCAGAAGCCAGATAAGACATAAGCCCCTATTTTGCCTATTCAGGTCATTTGACAATAAGCTCTTATAAAACCAAGCAGTGCGGCTGCCTGCTGCAATGGAGCATACCCACCGCAGCACATACCCCCACGTCAGCAGCTTGGGAGTGGAAACCAAAGTGATCTGCGTGGGTTTTGGGGAGGGTGGGGGATGGCTGGGGGACAGGGGCCCTGACAGGGATCTCTGCTATGGTCAGTGCCTCTGGACTTCGTGCTCTGGCTTTCTGCTTCTGGCCCTGCTTGGCTCCGTCTCTGGACTCTGGCTTTTGGGACCTCCACTCAGCTTTGATTGCTTGGTCCCGTACTCCAGGATCCTGACTTGGCCTTGGACTCTGCCTCAGCAACTTGGACGTGAGTTTCTGCCCCCACCCATGTGCTCAGGGCCCGCCAGCCCCTGGTGTCTTACCCACTAGGGAAGACTGCCTGCAACCCAGTCTACACAGCAAGTAGAGCACTGAATGGGCTGGATGTGTATGAATGAATTAAAGACTGATAAAAATCTTTATAATATATATGAGTGAATATACTTATAAAGTGCCCACATCCTACTAGGTGTGCATACATTACACCCCAGACCCTGCTGTTACAGCCGTTGGTCATGAAGCTTTGCTTTGTAGTGAGTATAACTGTCCATTTAGAGGATGTCAAGGGCAAAAGACCGGTGCTCTTGACATTGAAACGCATCATCTAAAGAAAAAAAAAAGCCTCTTGGGGGTTTTTTAGATGCCACCTTTGCAGTGCTGCTCTTGTCACCTCTGGATTCTTGTGAATAGTTTGGGATTTCCCATCACCTTCTCCTGGCTCTCAAGGTCCTGGTCCTACACTGACTAATAGATGTGCTTAGCTTTCTGCAGCAAGTTCTCACGTCAAAATGAGCAGATGAGTCATTGGATGTAAATGCTGAGCACACATGCCGGGCTCTGACCTCTGGACCTCTGGTGCTCAGCGCAATGATAGGGTGGGAAAGGACTGAGTTTTTTGTCTTTTAGAAAGAAGAGGAAGAATAAAATCCAAGGTCAAGATTCACAAGGCAGATTTGGGTGAAGCATTGTGATGCCTCACTTAAATGCTCAGCCATGTACGTGAATTCACCACCCCAAGCTGGGTGCACAGGCTCTGCTTATGGGAGCGCCTGACTCTACAGCCCAGTGGTCAAGACACTTGTCTGGGGGGAGGAGTAGGGTGTGCTTGAGGTGTAATATTTTGCAGGTGTGGGGTGAGGGGTCTTAGATGGCAGCTGGATAAATCCCCCTTGGGGGTTCAACCCCAAATGCTGATGCATACAGCTATAAAATATTTAGCACTCCATGCCAGCACCTTTGCAAACACACTGGGAAGCAGGGGGAAGAATATTAAATATGAATTATTAATGAGGCAGAACAGAGAACGTTAATGTGTGCCTGGAGATGGAAGTTGCCATCCCATTGTAAACGGCCGAATTTTGCAAATGAGCAAGAAGGCGAGCGAGCATGTCTGTATTTCAGAGGCGGTAAACACGCCGTTCTGGCTGTGCGTACAAGCCGCTGCCAAAGGGCGCAGAGAGGTAGGAGTTATCTCAGCTCCACGAGGATCTGCCTCCATGGTGTTATGCCTCTGCACAGAGCACCGCTGAAATAACAGAGCTCCACGGGGATGAGGTGTTTCGGGGCAAGGCCTACGTGCAATTAGTTCATTGAAGCCTGGCCTCCAGAAACCACTTAAGCAGATACTTCACTTCAAGCTAACAGGCCTTCAGTATGTGCTTAGGTGCTTTCCTAAACTGAGCCTTTATTTTGGAAGTGGAGGTTCATGTTTGCTCGACATAAGTAATAATATTATGACACCATAACCTATCACTCTCATTTTTCTGAGCACATGCATGGTACTATTGTCATAGCATCACAAAGCTAAGCATGGGTATTAAAAGGATGTAGGTGAGTGTCACGGCAACTAGCAAAGATAAATAACCACTGCTAAAATTAAATATTTTTAAATCTGAAGGATGGAATAGCTTAAATAGATTTCATAGACGTTTGGGCTGGAAGGGACCCCGGAGGATCATCGAGTCCAGCCCCCTGCCCCAGGGGCAGGAAGTCAGCTGGGGTCAAAGGATCCCAGCAAGATAAGCATCCAAATGTGTCTTGAAGATGTTCAAAGTGGGTGCATGAACCGCCTCTGGCAGCAGTCTATTGCAAACCTTGGGGGCTCGGACAATAAAGAAGTTCTTCCTTATGTCCAGCCTGAATCAGTCGCAGAGGAGTTTGTGACCATTCGACCTCGTCATCCCTTGGGGCGCTCTGGTGAACAGACGTTCCCCCAGCTCCT